CGGCGGCAGTCCATCTTCGAGCGCCTCATCGCGTGGCGCTTCTTCGAGCGGAAGATGCGCATGCCGCACATGTACAAGCACATGCGCGACCAGCAGCACCGGCAGCGATACGCCGAGGACATCCTCCTCCTCAACGAGGCGGCGAAGCAGAGCCAGGCGGACAGCGGCATCCACATCCGCTGGCGCTCCGGCCCGGGCCCCCCGGAGCCCGTGCAGCTGTGCCAGGTGGCGCTGCAGCCGGGCGAGCGAGGGCCGGAGGTGTCCAACCTGCAGACCGACGCGGGTGTGACGAGATCGGGCCGAGATTGGGCCGAGATCGGGCCGAGATCGGGCCGAGATGCGTTGCCGAGATCTCTCCTAGAGACCAGACATACCCCAGAGATTCCCCGTGGTACAGCCGACGCCCAACCGACGAGGTTGCCGCACGCGCCCAAAGTGCATCGCCCTACCCGCCGCCGCTTCCAGGGGAGATCTTCCACGCCGTCCGCTGCGGCTTTGCGCGTGCGGTCGAGGCGCGCAGAGAGTTGCCTCGCCCCCCCTCGCCCCGTCTCGCCCTCCTCCAGCGCGCTCCCTTCGGCAGGTGCTCGCCCCGCTCGCCCACGAGGGCGGCTCTCCTCTCGACGGCTGGCAGCTCGCCCTGGAGGTCTTCCCCGACTCGATCCTCGAGGAGGTGCGCGCGTCGATGGCGAAGCCCAAGCCGAAGCCAACGTGAGCGGTGTCGAGAGGGGCGCAACTCTCATCGCGCGCGATAAACCTCGCGCGCATGCAGAGCGGCCGGAAGGCGGAAGGGATCAGCGGAGCACGTGCATCCGTGCGGGGGGCGCAGATTGGATGGCGGGTGCGAGTCGCCGCGGAACGGCAGTTGCATGAAACGTGCGTTTCAGTTTGCATGTGCGCGCCGACCGGCACATGTGCATGCACATGCACATGTACATGTTGTTGTCGTTGACGCGCTGTGCCGCTCGTGCCGGGGGGGCTCGTTGTGCGAGTATATATGGGCCACGATGTCTCAAATATGAGGGGGTTTGACTCCTACCGGCTCCTGACGCTATCCCTGGCAGCTCTAATGACCGGGATCAGTAGTGCTATGATAGAGGGTGCCCATACTAGCGCAGGAGCTGCCACACTCGCCCGGACCGTCCCCCTCTGGGGCCGGTTCCGCAGCCAGCGAGAGCCGACAGCGGGGCCGTGCCGCGGGTGCCTACTGCCGAGTGCCACAATCACTGCGCCGTCCCGCCACCACCAACAGGCTGTCTTGTGTGATGGTTGGGATGTCCAAACGCCACCATCTTGGCTCTTGCGACCTCAAACCCGCGAGCTGTATGGGTGGTCCTGACGTCGACAGACGCCCGAGGACCACGGTGAAGCTGAGCCGGAACGCGTCGACAAGTCTCGTCTGAGCCCGTGGCGGTCGCCGGCTGAGTCGCTGTGCACGGGCCGGTACCTCAGGCGTCACCTCCGCAGCCTCAGGTCTCACACTCCATCACCTCCGCCGGGACGCCTTCGGTGGCACGTTCGGCGGCGAGTTTGTTGCAGCCCCACAGCGAGCGCGGCGTCGAGCCTAATCGGTCTGGTCGGTCGGCCGCACTCCCTGGGTGCCAGGGAGTGCGGCCGACACGCGAGCGGTGCTTCCTGGCAGCGCGCGCCGGCTGTGGGGCTGCAACAATCTCATACACGCCTTTTGGGACATTTTCGACGCTTTTGGCCCATATACTCGCACAACAAGCCGGGGATGCGTACGTACTTATAGCTTACTGGGAGAAAAGAGAGAGGGGGTTGTGTTCTCTAGGCCCCTAAGGGCCCTACGCGGGATATGGATGTCAATTATTCGTTTTTACACGGGCCGTCGGGGCGCCAGGGGGCGCGCCTAAAGCCGTAGGGGCGCGCCGCGCGCTTGTGAGACGCTCGAGAGAGCTGCACACCTCGAGACACGCGTCGCGTGACTCGGTACAGT